GGGCTCCCTGTTCCTTGGGAGCCTGCTTCTCCCTCTGCCTCTCTCTCTCTCTGTCTCTCATGAATAAATAAATAAAATCTTTAAAAAAAAATATGTATAATATAATATGCACATGCATATGTGATACATATTTAGAAAGCAATTTAGAAAATACTGAAAAGCTGTGACATCATGGGTAATCTAACAACCCAGGGCTAATCCCTGTGAACATTTTAGCATCTACTCTTTGTCTTTTTTGGCAAACACACATGGTAAAGGAAATCTCCAGTGTTTTCATTTACGTCACACACTGTACTCTCTCAATACTACTTCACTGCTGACATTAACTGTGTGGGTTTTCCACTCATCAGGCAGTCCTGCGATGCCAGCTGAGTACCCTGCAGTTTAACTCCATTCCGACGCTGTCTACATGGAGACAACTCAGATCCCAGAGGCTAAGGGTTCAAAGTCTTACAAAACTCCCTCCTCAGTCCAGTTACAAGTTCAGGTTATTGTGCTTCTGACTCACAGACTATAGATCGGAGATTCCCATGACACACTCCTCAGATATGGTTAGTTTGTCAGAGCTGCTCCCCTGACTGAGGACCAGCTGCAGGATGGAGGTGCACAGGGCAAGATGTGATGGCGAGGCGCGGAGCTCGCGCGCCCTCCGCAGAAGTGCCCCACTCTTCCATCACCACTCCCCGTGTTTGCCCAGCGGGAAGCTCGCCAAACCCCATCCTTCTGGGTTTTTATGAAGGCTTCATTAGGTAGGCATGAGTGATCAAGTCATTGGCCATTGATGATGGATTCAGCCTCCGGCCCTACTCTAGAAATTTCCAACCTTCTAATCTTGGTTGGTTCCCTTGGCAACCAGCCCCCATCCTTAGGTTACCTAAGGGCTTTCCAAAAGCCACCTCATTAACATAAACAGTAGTGTGGTTGAAAAGGGGTTTGTTATACATAACAAAAGCCACCTTGATCTTATCCCTTAGGAGATAATTTTTTAAAGTATTTAATTAATTTATTTAAGAGAGAGAGATGGAGAACTTGAGCAGGGAGAGGGACAGAGCGGGAGGGAGAAGCATTGACTCCATGCTGAGCAGGGAGCCTGGCCCTGCTCCATCCCAGTGTTACAGGATTGCAGGGTTCTCGTTTCACGGAGTCAAAGAATGAATCTCCCGGACACAAAAGGGTGAATTGCCCTGAAAGTTTATTAAGTGGAGGTGAGAACAGAAAGGAAAGAAATCTCTCTAGAGTGAGAGGGGTCCCAAATGGGTTGCCATTGAGGGCTTTTATTGAAAACTTGACCAGGGAGCTTGTGGCCTTGAGATTCTTGTGCAGTCTTGGTCTGAGCAAGGACAATTGATAGCACCCTTAAATGACTTACTTCTTTGAGGTTTGTTCATTTTCTGTGATTCCCTGTAGCCACCATAACATCCCGGGCCAGGTGGTCTGGTCTATTCCCTTATCTCTTGTTCAGTCTTTCAGAGCCTGGTCAGGGGCCCCCTATCTCTTTCTGCCTACACCTGTACACTTTCCTTACTCACCAGGACCCTGGGATCATGACCTGAGCCCATAGGACCTGAGCTTAACCGACTGAGCCACCCAGGCACCCCCACTTAGGAGATTTTAAGGGTTTTTAGGAGCTCTGCCAAAATATATATGTGTGTGTGTATATATATATGTATATATATTTATTTATTATAAATCACAATATCCTACACATATACCCATGAGAGTCCATATCTAAAATTAGTTGACTTCTATTTATACATACCTAAGAAAAGTCCATTCTGATATTTCTGCACTATCAGGAGTGAAAAGAGAAGTATGTATTTGATGGAAATTATTATATTCAATATACTAGTGCTTTCTAAATGCTGATCCAAGTGCTGATTTGATAAAGTTGTTACCAGTCCAACAGGAAATAAGGAAAATGTAACAATGATGAAAATGATTTTGCTCAGCATAATAAAGGACTGTCTTATAGTCTGAGTTATTTTAATCATTTTTGGAGAATTAATACATTATTTCCTCTATGAAATGTTGGTAAAACTGTGGTGTATTGTTATAGGTGATGATGGTGATGTTGTTACTTTGCAAAACACAACAACAAAACAAGAATAATGCTGTTGTTCCCTGCTTCAGGTTTTTAAATTTTTATTTTACTGCTTCCTGAAATTTACAAGCCTTGTAAGGATTGTCTTATGCAGCTTCTTGTAATTAACAACAAAAGTATTTGACCCAGTGCTGTTCGACCTTGGGTTATGTTACATATATTAATTTTTCGCCCTTATTATTTATTGAGTCCTTTTTTTTTCATTCCCAGTACCTGGTCATGGATTATTATGTTGGTGGGGATTTGCTTACTCTGCTCAGCAAATTTGAAGATAGATTGCCTGAAGATATGGCTCGATTTTACTTGGCCGAGATGGTGATAGCAATCGATTCTGTTCATCAGCTGCACTATGTGCACAGGTAAGTAAGACGCCACTCAAGAATGGGTTGTATGAATGTCAGTGGAGATGTTTTCGTAGGAAAGTGATACTTTTGATGGCCATGGGGTAATTTTTTCTTTGTGAATTATTTGACAGGTACAGTGATTTATTTAAAGTCGTCCCCACAAATGTGTGTTTGATTGTATACAATTTAAGATGGAATGAAGAGAAAAAAGTGAGCCTATTTACAAAATAGTTTTTTATACAGGATTATCCTTTTTTTTAAAGTTTTTATTTAAATTCCAGTTAACATACAGTATAATAATTAGTTTCAGGTGTACAATATAGTGATTCAACTCTTCCATATATCACCTGGTGCTCATCACAACCAGTGCACTCCTTAATCTCCATCACCTGTTTCCCCCATCCCCCACCCACCTCCCCTCTGGTAACCATCAGTGTGTTCTCTAGAGTTTGTTTCTTGATTTATCTCTTTTTTCCCTTTGCTCATTTGTTTTGTTTCTTAAATTCCACATGTGAGTGAAATCATGGTATTTGTCCTTCTCTGATTGACTTATTTTGCTAATCATAATACTCTAGCTCCCTTCATATCATTGCAAATGTTAAGATTTCGTTCTCTTTTATGGCTGAGTAATATTCCATTGTGTATATATACTGCATCTTCTTTATCCATTCACCTATTGATGGACCCTTAGGCTATTTTCATGGTTTGGCTATTGTAGATAATACTGCTCTAAACATTGGGGTGCATGTATCCCTTTGAATTAGTACTTTTGTACTCTTCGGGTAAATACTTAGTAGTGTGATTGCTGGATCGTAGGGCACTTGTATTTTTAACTTTTTGAGGACCCTCCATACTGTTTCCCAGAGTGGCTACACCAGTTTGCATTCCCACCAACAGTGCATGAGGGTTCTCCTTTCTCCACATACCAGATTATTCTTATACCTGTTGACACAAGCTAAAAATCTCTGTGTAAACAGCTCAAAATAATTTATGTGTAATAAAAAATTTTTTAAATGGATAATTTAAAAGGCAGTCTCATATTTTAAAAAGAAAGAAAGTCGGAAACCATCACTTAATCATTCAAATGAGGAAATCTTTTGGTTGTGAAAACTGAGAAAAAGGGAAGCGCTAGGGAGAAGCAGGTGAAGGACTTGCCATGTTGGAGAGGGAAGGAACCATTCTCTGAGACGTCAGCATGCGTCGGAATGAGGCAGAGGGTTTGCTGTGACCCACTTTGCTGGGTCAGCACCAGGGCTTCTGAATCCATAGGGTGGGTGGGGCTGGGAATTGGCATTTCTGACAGGTTCCCAGGTGCTGCTGCTGGTCCAGCAACCACACTTCGAGTCCTTCTGCTCAGTAACACAGCAGTGAGTGTTACTTTTAAGTGGTGGGTGATGCACATAATCTCTGTGAAGGACAGGAGCGTGTGTGGAGGAGAAAGTTTCTGTTTTAGTGTTGCTTTTTTTTTTTTTAAGATGTGGGTATTTTCTGCTGATTGATTTACTTAGTAATGAACTTCTAGGACATTATTAAAGGAAGAATATTTTCATTAAAAATTTTGAGGTCTCACTTTGGCTCTTGCCTAATCATATGCTTTTCTCTGTTGATATCTGGTAGTCACAAAGTTCTTTTTGAAAATAAAAACATGAATATACTATGAAAATTATAAAACAATGCATTTTTTTAAGATTTTATTTATTTGAGAGAGAGAGAGAATGAGAGATAGAGAGCACGAGAGGGAAGAGGGTCAGAGGGAGAAGCACACTCCCTGCTGAGCAGGGAGCCCGACGCGGGACTTGATCCCGGGACTCCAGGATCATGACCTGAGCCGAAGGCAGTCGCTTAACCAACTGAGCCACCCAGGCGCCCAAACAATGCATTTTTTAAGATGGTATTGTGGTCTTACGAGTGAATTACAGAATGAAAAACTAAAGTGCTTTTGTTACAGTAACCCAAGATCCTAGCTGAGGACTGTCAGTTAAAAATACTTTAAAAACATCATTTTATTGAACATTTAAAGAATGTTAGTCTTAGACTCAAAGAGTTCAGTGAAATTTTCCGCAATTCATATCTAAATTCTCAGTGAGGAATGATTACTTTGGAAAATAATTTGTCTACATTGGAGATAGTAAATATGAGGTATTTCTGCCAGGCTGTGACAAATATTCTTAACTGATCACAGGACCCTTTCCTACTGACTATATGTGGAGTCTTAAAATTCTTCTATCTTTCTGATGTTGGCATTGGAAAGCCATTTCAACCCTGAGCTCTATTAGGACTCTATACCTATAATTTTACAAGGTACATCATGTTAAATGAGTCCTATTTATTCCGTTGTTGGACAGCTCTTCATGTCGTAGAATTTTACTTTATGTTAAACTGAATTTCTTTTTTGCCTTACCATTGGTCCTAGTTTTGCTTTCAGAACCACGTATAATAGTCTGATTTATCTTAAAGCTATCATGCCTTCTGAAGTCATCTTTCCTTTAGGTTAAACATCAGTGTATCTGTAGTTATTCTGTTATCAAAATTGATGTACGCATTCTCTCTCCCACTCTCTCATACGCATACGGACCCTCACCTTGTGCCCAGTTCCACGCCTCCCCGCCCTCCCTCCTTGCCTCTCCCTTTACTTCTCAATGGACACACTCTGGTATATCAATGCACTTCTAAAAATGTGATTCCCATTTTCTGGATAGACTGTATGTATTTCAGCAGATGCTTTACTGAGGAAATATTTGTTGAGTCTTCTTTTATAAATAGCACTGTGCTAAATTACATAAAAATTTAAGTAAGGATAACATAGAGTCCTGCCTTGTAAGAAGCTTCCAGCCTGTTTGGGGACACAAAACACAAGACATAAGTGAAAAAACTAAAGTAGTAGAAGTTAAATAATCATTTAGGGCAAAAGTATAAGAGATGGAGTGAGCCCAGATTGTGAACTGCTATTAGAATTATACAAGCAAATTACAATGAACTCAGAGAAACAAGTAATAAGCTTAATTCTAATGGTTTTTTTCAGCGGTTAACTCTTAACTGTTATAGACTTTACCTATATTTTTCTAATTCTAACAATACAATAATTCTGTATTTTGGGTGTCATCTAAAATGGGTATGGCTCCATTCTATAGATGAAGAAACCCAGCTTCAGAGACATGAGTCCAAAATTAGCATAACCTAGATTAAAATCTGAGGCTTATGCCAGAATTTATGCTCTTGACATAACATCAATATTGCTCATAAGAGAATGCTTTTGTGGTGGGACTTTGCAGAATGAGGAAGCTTTTTGTAGGCAGATCAGAAGGCGTTCTAGAGACAAGGGGTGGCGGGAGAGGTCATAGGCGGGCAAGGGGTGGGTCTGGAGGAGGGTTGGTAGGTGGTTCGGCTGGAGAAGAGAGCTCATGTTGAGTTGAGGAAGAGCGATTTCAATCCCTCCTGTGGAAACACTTGAGTACCGTGTTGTAGACTTGATATCTTGGTAGCCATCAAGCTACCAGTAACTTTAGGGAATGAAGTGTTTGATTCAAACAGTATGTTAAGTTAGTTGGTTTTACAGTAAACGGCACATCAGAGTTTTCATGTTTTGCCAAATTTCAGAATGTTTTATGATTTTGAACTTCCAAGTATATGGAATTAGAGAACACAAAAAGGGAATAGTAGAGACTGGATGCCTTCAGGGAAGGAAATACGTTTTTCCCTTTGTGTTCTTTTAAAAAAAATTTATTTCCAGACTTAAAATACATTATTGGTCTTCTAATAGAACAAATATTTTCATACGAAAATTTTGTCTTCACTTACGCATGGTTTTATCGAGAGAGAAATGAGCAGTGGAAAGTAGCAAATGATAGGCGTCATCAATAATGTGCTCAGTTTCCAAGTGTTCAGCACGTTGTCATATTTTAGTCAAGAACATTTGCAACTTCCTTTGAAATTTCCAGACATTCACTTAAATAAAAAACAATGTAAAGCATTATTTTACCTGTTTTCAAAGAAGTTAATGAATATAAGATGAAAGAGATATGAATGGGGACATGGAAATAAGAATTAAAGAGATTGACTCTGGCTAGCTGTAAAATTGATGTACAGACTGACCCAATGAAGTAAAAATGTTTTCTAGTAACATTAGATAGTGAAGAAAGCATTAAACGAGGTGCCAGAAGACTTATTTACTGTGCTTGCTTCTCCACAAGCTTTTTAAATTTAGATTCCAAATGATTTATCATTGAGATTACAGCATCTTGGAACTTTTTCTAAAAAACAATGGTCTTCCTGTAAAGATGAAAAGATGCTACTTATTAAAGTGCTGGCACACAGACCGTTTCCTTGTCATTGTGTTGAGATGTGGGAGAATGGTGCTATAGAGATGAGCACTACGGGGCTGTTACTGTGAGAACTACCCTAGTAGCATCTCCCCTTTCACAGGAGGTGGGGAAAGGATGCAGTGGGGTTGAGGAGGGAAGAAAGACAGTATTCTTAGAGCACTGGTTGGTAGAGGGCCTAATGGATGTGAAATCTCTCCAGATTAAAGATGTCTGTTCTTCCCAAATTGATCTGCAGGTTTGATGCAGTCCCTCTCAAAATCCCAGCAAGGTTTTTTTGGGTTTTTGTTTTTTTTTTCTTCCAGTCCAGGTGAAAGTATTAGTGTTGGGCTAACTTCCCTCAGCATCTCCAGCTCTGCTCTTCTGTGTGCAGCTGCATTCAGGCCTCAGGCTACTGGCTTGTCCCTAAACAGCTATACCTAGCTACTTCATTAATAACATCTAATTTTCAACATTTATGACAGCTCATACAGGTTTTTCATCTAGAGGAGTAAAGATTTTTTTGTTAAGATATAAACAATCTTGCTCCAAAGTTTATGTGGAAATGCAGTGAAACTAGAGTAGCTAAAATGGTTTTGGAAAAGGAAAATAAAGTAGGCAGAATAACTACCTAATATTAAGACTTAGTATATTGCTACGTTAAGTAAGATATTGTGTACTTGTGGAGGAAAAAAATCATAGATAACCAGATAGAAG